TTATTTTTTATGAATATTTAATGGATTTTATTCTACAGACCTGAAAATATAGCGGAATCCACCCATCCTATATACGCTACTAATTTTAACATCATATCTTTTATACTTGACCTTTCCCTTCGAAACAGCTTGAAAAACATTTGTACTCGAATAATAACGTGAACATTTGTATTTGTTTGGAAGCACCTTGCATATTCCCACGCTTATTCCTTTATGTTTCTAAATATAATTTTTATATCCCATTTCTAAACATTTTTGTGTTTCTAACATCAAAAACACTTGAAGCTTTACTTACGTACTGTTATAAGATTAGGAAGGTTTCCAACAAACAGGAATTCCGAGAGCTTGTAAAGATCGCTTCCATTCGCACTCGATTTTCAGTGTGAACAGAATTAAGTTAGGAGTTTCGTATGTAAATAAAATTGGAAATTGCGATGACGTCACGTAGCACCCGCACAATCCCGCTCCATTGGAAGGTTCTACTCACATTATATGGATTAGAAAGTGAGCTTACATTTTAATATTTTATTTATTTCAAGAACTACGTGTTTTATATTTCTTTATGTCAGTGGTATGACAAGTGAAATCCGATCTCGGGAGCAAGACAAGAACATATTTTGTAGGGATTAAACGAATCAAGAAAATTAACGTTGTATGAAGAGTAATAAATGTTTTTTTTTTTTCACATCTTTTTATACTTTAGTACTTTTTTATTCGTAAAATCTGTCTCTTTCATTCGGTATATCTGCTACGTTTTCTTTAGCGAGGCGTGTTATATATTTCGTAATCTTACGAAGCTTCTTTAATTTTTCTTTTGATGGTTGAATGTCTGTTTTATTTCTCGTTTCACGAGAACGTTTTCTATTTATTTATTCAGTATATTTGAACGTTTTGGAGAGCTAGCCAATGCCCAGGGGGAATGTAGGCCAGTCTAAAATGTTGTTTGCTCTGACCTCATCTATTGTTTCCTGCTACAATAAGAAGAAATTTTGATCAATGAGACGGTAGCTTCTGCCTTATATGAGACTTCATTCGTAGTAATACTTTCGTGTAATATCATGAAGCTTCATACGTAGGTACTTCTATGGATTTAGACATTGTTCTCATCTCATCTCCAAGAAATAATAAACATACAATAACTTTTTAATATATTTTAGGACTACATAATAAAAAAATGTAAAATAACTATTTTATAACAATATTAACCAATAAATTGATTGAAATAGAAAACGTATAAGTATGTTATTTACATATAGGAACTTTTCACACATTACCTATTTATGCACTTTTATTTATAGTTTACAAGGTAAACTAGAAAATAACTGAAGGCATTATAGATGGTCCTCAAAGTGACCAACAACCGGTTGATTCCTTGCCCTCATTTGTCTCATATTCGCACAGGATAAGCAGCATCCTACCAACGTTATCAGATCAATTTGAAACTATAAATTGGTAAATCGTTCGTATCCTTACAAAGAAGATGTTCACACTTTGTTTCAGACTGTTAATACTCGAGACAATGCTTAGAACACAATACGTAACCTACTTATGTATACCTATTAGGTATGTATATTTATAATAATATTTGGAAATGAAAAGACAACTTGGATTCTAGTAAGAACGTACTGGCCATTTTTTTCTAATTAAAACAACAATACTATACTACATGACATGTTTAATTTATAGGTAGGCCATTTTTATGTGGTGCCGCCAAACGAGCAGACGGATTATCTGATGGTAAACACTCGGCGCCGCCCATTGACACCCGCAGCACCAGAGGAGTTAGGAGTGCATTGCTGGCCTTTTGGGGCTTAGGGTTTCGTAGCCTTAGAATATGGGAAGGGAAGGGATGGAAGGATTGAGCCTTCGATAACTTCAAAACGGTACAAACAGTAAACCGGTAAAACAAAAATAATATATGGAAAAAATAGTAATTACTTTTCTTTTAAACACTTAGTTTAAAATATTCTATTTTTACACAAATCTTATACAAACTTGTATATCTACATATAATCTAAGTATCAGTCTGGTTTTGTAGATAAAATCAAAAGATTTCGATTATTCCAATGATTCATTTTATGTTTCCAGTAATGACTCAATGTCTTTGTATCTCTTAAAGCAAAATAAAAATACCCAACATTGGCGCACCTTGCTCTAATTCGTGATAGCAGATAAATATAATAAAATTGTTATTTTTAAATACATACGTTCAATGAACTTACTTTGCTGTTATTTTCATACTTATTTGTAGAGATACGAATATGTCAATTAGCTATATAGTAACGATCAGTAAATACATTTGACATAACTTTACACATTTAAACATTTGATATTAAAACGGACCTTAAAATACATGCAAATATTATTTAAATGTAGTTTATTAGCAAACATCAGTTTATGTTAATACCCCAAAGAAAACATTTTATATACTTACATAGAATTGTTAGGCAACTTTAGATAAGGAGACATGCAAAGTTTATTTAAATTTAGTTAATTTCCTAAACCAATAGACCAAAGGCAGCAATAGTATTTCTTTATCAGCCTAAAATTGCCCACTGCTGAGCAAAGGCATAGAAGGTTGAGCAAGCGTGGTGATGGCTCTACCATCACCACGCCTGCTTAACGCGGGTGGGCGATTTCAAACTTATAATTAGAAATTATAAGTCCAGGTTTCCGCACGACGTTTACCTTCACCATATGTCAGTCTTGTCTAAATAATCATAGAAAGTATCTACATATAACTCGGAAAAAGTCACATTGATACTTGCCAGGTTTCTAACCCTGATGAGGGTGTCTAATGCATGAGAAGCGGGCTCCTTAACCTCCGGGCCACCACGACAGCAATACTATTTGGTAAATCGAAACTTTTTACTATGATATCCCACTCGCTCAATAACCGTTGAGATTATAGCAGTATCTTATGTAATAAAGGCAGAGATTATAGTAGTCTCTTATGTATATCCTATTGTCACAGTGATGATAATGATGAAATGATATGTGCAAATTTGTGAGCGTTATATTTCGCTGTGAATTGAGAGAAAAGTGAAAGAGGTTACTGGAGGCCCAATCCTTCCCCCATCCCATTTCTTACACCCGTAAAAGGTTAGCAACGTGCTTGTGTCTCTATTCTTATTTGGTATTGCGGGTGTCAATGGGTCACGCCGATTGCTTATATTAGGTACAGGTGATAGGTCTGTTTGTTTGTCAACCTATCACATAAAAATGGTTTGTTTCGATGTAATCCCAAAACTGCTAAACCATTATGGATGAAAACATATGTACTTAGGATAGAGACAGAAAAACTAATAATAAGCTATTTTTTCGAAATAAGAACTTAAAAGGCATGGTGATTGACTGCGGATATATGAGTATGTAGGTAATATTGACACGAACGAAGACGTGTGCTAAAGCTATTTATCAATAAATCATGAATGAATACCCGCATTTTGTTTGTGTCCCCAAAATCAAAAGGATCCGTAAAACAGTCGTGAAGTATGCATGAATGGCCAGTTCGCTGGAGATGGAAGGTCGCACGAATGTAGTATACGACATTTTTAACGGTAGATAAGCACGCAGCAGTGTTTGTGTGTGTAGATTAAAGTAGGTTTATAAAGGAATCGAGATGAAGAAATTAAAGTATGGGGGAGGTATGCTTCGGCACGAATTGGCCGGCTCGACCGGAGTGATACCACAGCCTCACAGAAAACTTGCGTGAAGCAACCCTTACATTGTCTTTCGTCGTGTGAGAGAAGTTACCGGAAGCCCAATCCTCCCCCTCCCCCCAATCCTTAAATCCCTTGAAACCCACAAGAGGCCGGCAACGCACTTGTAGTAACTCCTTTGATATTACGATTGTCCACGGGCGGCGCTGATTGCTTACTATCAGGTTTGCCGTCTGCTTGTTTGCCGACCTATTACATAAAAAACTAGAGACGGATACAGCTAGTATACCAATATGTTATTTCAAATGTTAAAAAACGTATATATTCCTTTGTTTATTTGACGTCAGTGTTAGATTGATGGTTTTGAGTTTATGACGTCATATTCCTACTAGCTTTTACGATTATTCGTACTGATTTGCTTAAACTATGTTTGCTTTCAATTAAGTAAGAAAACTTTATGATCGTTATTAAAATATTCATTTCTTTCATCAACATTAGTTAGTTTGAAGTATGTTAATGTTTACTACTAAATAAGTTTTCATTTGAATTCATTTTATTCATAGTATTTATAGGTATTATATCAATGTTTATATGTGTACATGTTGTGAGAAAGTTTCTAGTTATCTATTAGTATTGGATAAATAGCATGAAGTCTAGGAATTACGTTTAATATAAGCAATTAAACAAACAATTTCTTGTGAATCCGACATTTGTACACGACGTGTATTCATGAATATGGTAATTATAACATTCGCTTTTTGGCAAACCACGTGTAGATGTTTATTAAATATAACTAATAAAACAACTTTATCTATGTGATAAACATCACCTATGAATTTACTAATGGATTCGATTTCCAGCCTATAACATAAAATTGCACTTACGCTAAATGGGTTTCGTGTCAAAATTATTTATAGTCACGAAGTAGTACGCAATACGTTTACCTACCTAACCAAAGTAAATGTACTTTTACTTATACATAAATATATAAATACCTAAAAGTTTATAAGGTAGGTATAAAAAAACATTGTCCCCTAGTTATACTCTTGAATTCCAAATCGAATTTCTTAGTTCAACATTTCTGAAGAAAGACTGTCCAGTCTAAATCATCAGCCCAAATATCATGTACATACGTTACCTGTCCAGCCGCTGAAGTAGAAGGTGCAAGTACATTAATGGACTTCGAACGGGGTCATTGTTGTCATTAAGAGTCTGATACACCTCGTGGCTGTGGGGCGAGGAGTCAGGCAATGGATGATTTTCCCTAATAAAAATCTTCCTACCTGACTACAGTCTTCTAGGCAGCAAATTTGATTCACAATTAAAGCACTGAACGCTATGCTGACTCTTAAGTTAGGTAGGTTAAGTTAACACTCAGTACCTAATACTTGGTAAATATGAAGTCAATACTATCGGTATTATGTATTCGATTTTTTCGTTCAAATATCTAGACTATTATTCATCCAGCAAAACAATAAACGATCGAAGGAACACAAGTATAGGTATACAAAAACTACCTTTTGTAAACGTCTAAGTAGGTACACACACACGTAAAGCCATTTCAAGTTGGAGTCTATTTTCTATGGCATTTTGGAATCGGAGTAGAGCATTGTTTATTCGGGGCTCAACAACTGCTTTCATTGCGGTTGGTAATGGAACTCCTAATTGTGATAGCTACAATCGCACAAGTTTCATTTGGGCCAATGTTGGTAAATCTGCTTAGTGGAATAGCGATCGTTATTGGCTTATTCGCTTTATTTTGCTCGTTGTTTGTTAGTATCGATTTCAAATTTCTTAACATGTCCTTTGGTTATATAGAATGAAGTTACAAAACGTATTCTTATGGGCAAAACAATATGTTTCATCTTTTTCTATAAAGTTCTAGTAGATACATATTAGAGAAGTGAAAAATTAGTGATGGATGCGCTTTTAGATTTTCCATGTTTTAATAATAATAATTAGAGTTCATTTTGATTACTGTGATAGATCAAAAGATATTTTGGTTGATTTCTGGTAGTTAAACGTGAATAAACGGTGTTTAATTAATTAGTGATTTGTGCGGATATGAAAGATAAAGACAAAGACGGAGACAGAGACAGAGACAGAGACATAGATAGAGATAGAGATAGAGATAGAGATAGAGATAGAGATAGAGATAGAGATAGAGATAGAGATAGAGATAGAGATAGAGATAGAGATAGAGATAGAGATAGAGATAGAGATAGAGATAGAGATAGAGATAGAGATAGAGATAGAGATAGAGATAGAGATAGAGATAGAGATAGAGATAGAGATAGAGATAGAGATAGAGATAGAGATAGAGATAGAGATAGAGATAGAGATAGAGATAGAGATAGAGATAGAGATAGAGATAGAGATAGAGATAGAGATAGAGATAGAGATAGAGATAGAGATAGAGATAGAGATAGAGATAGAGATAGAGATAGAGATAGAGATAGAGATAGGGATAGAGATAGAGATAAAAGTAGTCGCGGGCAAAAGCTAGTACTTAAATTATTATGGTTTCGTTATCCTGGGTTTTGGTATTCAACAAAGATAAAAGATGAAAGATGAAAGATGAAAGATGAAAGATGAAAGATGAAAGATGAAAGATGAAAGATGAAAGATGAAAGATGAAAGATGAAAGATGAAAGATGAAAGATGAAAGATGAAAGATGAAAGATGAAAGATGAAAGATGAAAGATGAAAGATGAAAGATGAAAGATGAAAGATGAAAGATGAAAGATGAAAGATGAAAGATGAAAGATGAAAGATGAAAGATGAAAGATGAAAGATGAAAGATAAAAGATAAAAGATAAAAGATAAAAGATAAAAGATAAAAGATAAAAGATAAAAGATAAAAGATAAAAGATAAAAGATAAAAGATAAAAGATAAAAGATAAAAGATAAAAGATAAAAGATAAAAGATAAAAGATAAAAGATAAAAGATAAAAGATAAAAGATAAAAGATAAAAGATAAAAGATAAAAGATAAAAGATAAAAGATAAAAGATAAAAGATAAAAGATAAAAGATAAAAGATAAAAGATAAAAGATAAAAGATAAAAGATAAAAGATAAAAGATAAAAGATAAAAGATAAAAGATAAAAGATAAAAGATAAAAGATAAAAGATAAAAGATAAAAGATAAAAGATAAAAGATAAAAGATAAAAGATAAAAGATAAAAGATAAAAGATAAAAGATAAAAGATAAAAGATAAAAGATAAAAGATAAAAGATAAAAGATAAAAGATAAAAGATAAAATTATTTAGGATATCATCATCAGCCTTAGAGTGTCCACTGCTGAGATTGGCAATTTCGAACTTGCCAATCCGCAGAAATTGTAGTTTGTCAGGGGTGTCTAAATAATCATAGAAAGTACACATAACTCGGAAAAACTCACATTGGTACTTGCCAGGTTTCGAACCCGCGCCCTCATGCATGAGAAGCCTTAACCTCCGGGCCACCACGAAATTCACAGATTTGACAATTTATAATAATCAAATCCAAAAAGTTATGTATGACCCTAAAAATAATACACTACAGTACAGTATTAGTTCCAAAGAAAGTTACGGCACTTCTAACTGAAAAGACTACAAATTAACAAATCTATTTCTTTTTCACAGGCGTCAGAGGTCTTCACAATCTGGAGATCAACGTCCCCAACGCTGTGCTGGTAGGGGAAACCGTCACATTAGAATGTAGCTGGCAGTTAGAAGACGAAGAAGCCTTGTACAGTGTGAAATGGTACCGAGGGAGAGAGGAATTTTACCGCTACATCCCCAAAGAACTACCACATACCAGGGTATTTCCATTACCAGGAATTGAAGTAGATGTAAGTAAAACTATTTATGAATGAACACAAACACTAATTTAGTATTGAGTAACCGTTTTCTTAACGAGAAGCTAACTATTAATGTAAAACAGAATGAGTAAAAACCTCATTATAGCTTTGCTTGTTCAGAGCATTAATTCCGCTTGCTTTACCCATAGAAAAGGAATGGTAATAGTAAACCAAGATAAATAAAAGAATTCTTGCGGCTCCGTGCATCCATACATGTTTAATAATTAAACGTGCGTCGAACATTACGCTCATGGGAGGATTTCGCGCAAATGGTCTGTTTAAGAGAAGTATATTGTTATACATTAAAACGAGTCATAAGCTAGTTGAAATAAATGCTTGTTACGATGCAATAATGCGACAGCACTTAATCCAAACGCTAGCCAACATAAAATCACCATAATGTTAGTAAAACACCACTAGCACAGTAATAACTTTACCAGAGCGCACTTTATTCTCCTCTGGGCCCATATAATATCTCCAAGTCTCAAAAATGCATTCGAAAATTCGAGCAAATCCATTCTTTAAAAGTTTCCAAACAAATTTCACGTTCGAGGCTGATAAAGCTGGGGGTACAACGTGTAATTTTATAGCTTTAAACCTGGAAGCACTTATGGTATATCGGAACTCACTTACAACAGTTGTTAAGGCAGGCGAGAACACACTCTCTGAAAAAGTTTATTTATTAACACTCTTTTATGGTATGTTTACATCGAAAGTACTATATTTGGATCTTCAAAATAAACTTAAACGTAGCGGTTTACAAACAATGGGATTTATTGGAGATTTCGTTTCGCTTTTTCTACTTTCTTTCTTTTTGCCTTTTTATCTATTATTCTTATAAGTCTTTAAAGGATATATCTACGACATTCTTCAGTTGAGCCTTCTTCAGTTTAATAAAAGATAGACTGCCGAACATGTTTAGACACGTATTTTGTAATATTCTTCGTGAAAAATTTGCTGTTTATCGTCTCATTTGAATAACATTTTCACTTTGACTTTGTCTTTGACCCAGACTTTCAAGGTTATATGACATGAACGAGTATGTTAGTTCTTAAAATAGATGATAAGTTAATAATGAAACCCAATAAGTCGTTGAAAAGTTTCGAGATGTTTCATAATAAAATTATAATTAATAAAATTCGACGTGACTATAAAAAAATACGAAATTAACAGTTAAGAAAGTAGGTACTATAATATTAAACTTTATCCAAATGTTGGTTTACCGTTTAAGTACATATATTCGTTTTTCTATTAGAGAGTTACACAATTCTCCTCTATTCATCTCCGCCGAACCCCGAAATCGGCATAAGGTCGGCCACGCACTGGCAACTATTCTGGTGTTGTGGGTGTCTATTGCTTATGGCGCCGATTGCTTCCCTTTAGGTAACCCGTCTGCTCGTTTACCGTCATATTACATAAAAAAGTTAATACTAACAAATAATTAGTAAGTATAGTTCATACTTAAAAAAAAGAATGATTGTCAAGCCAGATAAATATGTATATGTACTAAAAATTTTATGTATCACCTTCGTGCGTACCTACTACAAAGAAAAAAGCTGATATCAAATACACATTATTTAAGACTCTTAAATTTTAAGAAGAATCATTAGCTTTTCATCATTGTTATACGCCTTCAGTTATCTTGTGAGACTTTAATTTCTAAGTAAAGTTCGTGTATTAGTGTTGCTTTTGTTCAAATAAGAAGAATTTGTTTGCAACGAATATTATTAATCTTCATTTTCTTACGTCAACTAAAGTTTTTCGAGTATTGTGTTGTAAGTTGAAGCAAACTGTACATATTTAATGGAGACAGGCCCAGGTTCAGTGAGAATAGTAAATTGTTATAAAAGTAATTACTTAGGTTATTATTTATTAGGCCTGTTGGACTTTCAACGTCGCTATCTGTTGCTTATTATTTGAAATGTTGTAAATTGATTTGAAAATGGATCCTCCATTTTATAGAATTTCTAGAATTTAATTTTTAAAATTTAAAATTGAATTATTTTTTTGGCACGCGGTGCTGTCCAGTAGTATTATTCATTTGATATTTTATATAGAAACTTTGAAATAGTCAAACCACAATTGTAAATCACTTGTTTAGTTACTGAATAGTTCTTGTGCGATTGTGGGACTAATCCTACGAGAATCCTAAAGACTGGAGTGCGACTATCTATAGCCACCAATATTCCTATTTGATGTTAGATCTAACATTGAACAGTTTATATTAGGGATGATGAAATTTTGTTTTTGATGTTTAAGTGTGGGGGTTCCAATCTTGGACACAAATGGACCGGCTCGACCGAAGTAATTATTGTTGCGAGTGTCTATGGGCGGCGCCGATTATTACCATCAGGCGATCCGTCTGTTCGCTTGCTAAACCAATTTTTGCCGGTTTAGCAAGCGAACAGACGGATTTTTTTTCATCTGGTAGACCGATTTAGAACATTTAACACGTATTTTTATTTTCTTGTGGAATCAAGAGCTTTCGACTGTAGGTATATTGATAAGATATATCGTTTGTAATCGCGATTTAGTAAGTTGACAACTGGACGGTGACATAATGACCTCCCGACCCAAATTGACGAAATAAAAAAACATGTCAAATGTGTTTTTCATTCGTTTTATATCCTAAAACATCCCTATTGTAACCGAATTTTATTGAATTTGAGTTAATACCGATTGTCCTTAACTTTCCTCACCTAGGGTGGAGCGAGGGGTGTCAGACTCTTCATTGGCTAAAAATCACACCATTCCTTCTCTTGGACTTGGCTTGGGACTCGCTCTTACGGTGACTGGAGATCGTCGCACAAAATCGTGTCATCGCCCTTATTGTAACCCCATTATAAACTTGAGTTGATTCGATTTTCTCGTCTCTATCATTGTTGTACCTAATAATACGTTCCTTTAATTTACTTTTAATTTCATAAAAAATAAAAATAATTAATTAATTGTGCCATTTCTTAGAATTAAAATGTGTAATTAAATACTCTTATAACAAATCTTAGATTATGAGGTAATTCGTGTGATTTGTAGATACTCTTTTAATTGGTATACTTAATCAACATACGTAAGTACCTACCTACATAAAATGATTGATGGGATGGCGTCTAGTTGGGGTGTATAGAGGACAAGGAAGAGAAGTTTACTGCGACCCACCCTAAATCGAGATTTATATTTTAAATACAGAAACATACAGTCTTTGTGTTTTTGGGGTTCTTAAATGCCTGCTATAATAAGGATCTTGAATAATACGAAATTTTCTCGCTATCTATACTTGCATAAACTGAAGAGTTTGTTTAATTGCTTGAACGAACGTTTCTCCGGAACTACTGTTTAGAATTGAACAATTGTATTCGTGTTGTATAGTCTATATATAGAGAAAAACTATCTAGGCTATGCAACGTCCCGCCGAGCAGCAAATGAAGCTGGTTTTAGCTACAGTTTGTCATTTGGAACGAAATAAATTCACATTGATATAACATATATATAATCTCAGTCTGGATGTAGGTAAATATAGTATTTTTATTATCTATTCAGATAGTAGTAGTTACATATAATCATTATTATTGTAACATTTGTCCACGGAATGTTCTAATGACATTATTTCTTTACTACGTCGGACACCTACGTTTTTAATCAGGTATCAATTTTATTAATCACCCGTCAAAGTTTGATCAGTTACAATATGAGATTAGCAATTAGCACCCGGATGTTTCCATAGATAACGTTCACGCTTTAATAATATTTCGCGAACAATATTCTAGAAGTGGATTTTAGGGGCCTTTATGAATTTAAAAAATATTTATAAGCCGTTACACCTACTATGAAAGACCTTTTATGCAATTTTCATATATGCTTTCTTTGCATTAAAATTTAATGTAAAATCCAACTTAATGATTCCTGGAAGAAATTGCTTGTGTGAAAAAGTCGATAATGCGATGCCTCATGGTATATAGTATAGTAAGACCGCCGTTTGTAACTTTGTACAATAAAGTATAAAATATCATAAATAGATGATTCATATTAATTTTTATAACTAAACTACGGACCCTTTCCGAAAACCCCGAAATATAAAATTTTTGCGAAATCGTGAGCGCCGTTTCCAAGATGACATGCTTTTTCAAGCAATCAGCGCCATCTGCCGGGATTTGTGAATCTAAACCATCCAGGCCACCACTCAAATGCATACAGAAAAAATCACTTAAATCGGTCAAGCCGTTTAGGAGGGGTTCATTTACATACACACGTACAGCAGAATTATATAGTTATATGTATAAAGATTATGTAATTTATTTATTCAACGTCCTATCAAAGTATCCAATTATAATTGAATATTTAATTGTGACGATAAAATCATACAAAACCCTTAGAAGCAAAAAAAATCATCATCGCAAAATATTGATAAGTCTAATTTTAAATATACTTTATCTAGATAAAGATAAACGTCTACGATGATTGTTTAATTAAAAGCATAAGAAAACAGATACAATCACGTCTGTGCGCCAAAATGGAGCATAAAATAAAACAACAAACGACATTATAAGGAAATCGTATATTAAGTTGAGTCGTCCCGCCTAACTTTGATAGGCGACTTCTTATAGCTTTGGAAGCTGAAATAAGCAATTCCGAGATGAAATCTGATGTACGATTTCATTAGATCGGGCCCTAATAGGAACGTGCGACAATGATAAAATATTTTTACTCAAGAAATATGTGAAGAAAACGTCGACCTAATGGATTTTGGTGCTGAAAATCTTACGTGCTTTAATTTAGTAGATACATAGTAATTATTTTGTTTAGAGGGTCATTTTGTTCTAGAATTTTCTTAATTTATTTAGTATTTGTGCTGAGTCATCTGAATTTGAAAATACGTCTATATTTTACAAAGTATGTATACCTAAGATCTTAAGTGTTGAAAATATCAGTCTGTTTTTAAAACTTACATACCATTACGCAAGTGAATTTATCCGACTGTATAAGTAGAGGGAACAAACGGATTTCTCTCTGAAGTTAGACCGATGTTCACCTAAACTGAAGTTATAAAATGAATATGCGAATGATATTCCGAAACGTGGCAGCCGGCTGGAGAAAGTTTGACGTCACCTAATGCATAGATTTCACACTAAATAAGAGATGGATTTCAACAAATTACTTCTTGTCTCTTTACTTGGAAAACTTCTACGTTGAGTTGGCGTAAAAGTTGATGAACATTAATTTATTAATATTTAATATCGAACGACGTTTTTTGTACTTTATTCGGTTTTCTTATTATTTGATTATAAAGCTAATTATTGAACCACTAGAACAGTTGTCAATGTCACGGTCATCGTCTACGATACATACGATGGTCGAGATAATATCGAGCATTGACATTGTAACTCTAGTGCAGTGAGCTGCCCGACTTTGTACTGTGATATTAAATAAAAACTTACCACCACCTAACCGCACAGACGGGGCCCTAAAGCACAGACGGGGCCCTAAGGGGCTGATGTTCAGCCGGGGTTGCGGGGTAAGCGCAATGAGGCACCGCGACATCGGCACAGAGCAGGAGAAGGAACAGGGGGGTTTTTAGTCAGTAAGAGTCTGACACTACCTCCCGCCCGGCCCTGGGCGGGAGAAGTCATTTGATGATTTTCACCTCACAAAAAAAAACCACCACCTAACCTAACCTAACCTAACCAAGACCCAAGTCTTTTATTCATATTACAGCAACAAAAACAAACATTAATAGTGTAAGGACGTAAAATCAATAACTAAATCGTTAACACATAATACAGAGTTAGAATACATAATCAAATTATATCCAACTTTTATTCCTCAATCAACATTTGAAAGTTTGTAATGTGTTCTTTGACCGTCTTTTGAAATCAAGAAGGACGAATTAGAGAATCAACTTTGTAAGTAACGTGGCTGTACGTGTAACAGCGCCTGTATAAATACAGACAACTAAAGTAAATAGACTCTTTCTTTCCTGTAATTACCCTCATCGTCACGCACCAAAAAGAAATGGAACTTAAGAAAAGATATAGTTAGAACGAAATTGGACTTAGTGGACCTACTTATAAATTGTACTTTTGAGTGTGTTTTTACTTTTTTATTTGTTCACTTGTATCTAAAGTCTAGGTAAAATAAAGTGTAGCTTCGAATTTTAGACATGAAAATGTCAGTAAGAAGCACGGAGTATAATGGCAATCGCCAATACTGGGATATATTTAACCATAATGTAATATAACCGTTGAGATAAAACTAAGGAGTTAGTTTCTTTGCTTGAACGCGCTTATCTCCGGTAGTGCTGGCTTTGAACAAGCATTTGACAATTCCTTTTGTGTTGGATAGTCCATTTATAAAGCAAGGCTAGGGCAGATAGGATTGACACCGCACGGGAGTAGCTAATTTAACCATAACTGAAAAAAGGTTGCAAATCGTAAGTAAATTCTTAAGGAACATAATAAAATTAAAATCTTTCCCAACAAGGGCTAACGTAAAACAGTAAAACCGACGACTCACAGTTCGATTCCCGTCAGTCGTAAACATGACAACGTTACTAATTCTTATTTTTACTACGCACTAAAACATTTATTTCGGATGCCTCCCTAATATCAAGTAACATTAATCTTAATTTGTGGCACTATAAATTACTTACAAATTGTAGTATTAAGGATACTTAGCCTTGGAAGGGCGCTTTTTAAATGAACCTTTTTATATGATCGATATTGAATGCTTTGGTAGAATTTATGGTGACTATAATTAGGCGTAGTACAAGTCGTTGTTCCTGTTGAGTGATGTGACAAGAGATAGTGTGGCATGATTGGAGGGCGGTTCCTTATTACGCGTTTAGGAATAAACCAGGGGTACACAAAGTATGTAAAAAAAAAACACTTTTCGGCCAGTGTTGTTATAACTTCTATGTAACTCACTGTCATACGCAGGCGGCAATTTCAAACCTCAATTTATAATTAACAATTTCAAAAATCGAACCTGAAAATAATACCCGTATTAGTCACCAGAAATCTCTCGAAAAAACTGTCACTATGACTGGGCAGTCACTTCTAAGTTACTACCTCTTGATTAAAGCAGGAAAAGGATAAAAGAGGTCGTGTAAAGCAGAAATATTCATGAGTTCATGACCAATAATCGCCACGTAGATGTCTAATAAATCGGCTTTGGGATATTGCGGTGTATCGCATTAGGTTGGCGACCTTTCCCGGGGATTAATGAACACGATTGAGTAAAGTGGGTGGACTTTGTCATTCTATCGATTGAAGAAAAATATAGTGGAGATTTATAAGTAGATAGATACCTTTAAACTTTCTGAATCAAAAATGTTGTAAATAAATACTATTTTCAATAGAATTTGATTAGCTGTGATTTTATTGTGAACATTAATATACTTATAAAACATGTGAAACTATTTTGTCTTACTAATTAATCAGCAGTGTGTGATGTACACTAGAAAAGAAAATCATAAATAAACGAAGTGTTTATCTGTCCGTCTTTAACTAGGGTAAGCCTTCCAGTCTTTTATAGGATATTTGTGTTACCTGTGGATTTATCGTTTGATAAATAAATTTACTTTTTATAAGTTTATAATAATTTCTTCTAATAAGCACTTATTTTTTGCGATATATGTTTGTAGAATTAGTGCCATACATTTGTGAAAATAATCATTTGGAGACTTTATATTTATCCTTGAATTTGTCACAACTGCATTAGGTACGACAGATTTTGTGAGTGTTATTACTGAACAAAAACATAATTTCTTATTATTTTGTATGAAAAGGTAATCGAAATCAAATAATTCTCATGTCCCTAACCCCAAAAATACTTACGTTGTGCACTTTTGGTGTTGCGAGTGTCCATGGCTGTTGATAATTTATTGTCATATGAAACGCCTGGTTGTTCGTCGAACCTATCCCATAAAATAAGTATTTTATAAATAACAAGCATAAGCATATATAAAAACAATTGATAAGTACACTTAACAAAATATAAAATTTATATCTATACTAATATTATAAATACGTAAGTAACTCTGTCTGTCTGTTTTTTCTTCACGCCTAAACTACTGACCCGATTTCTGTGAAATTCGATTACAAATATAGTTTGAAACTAGCGAAAGAACATAGTATAGTTTTTATACCAAACATCTGCAGGAAGTCACTATTCTTTGCGAAGGGAGTCGCGGGCAAAAGCTAGTAAATAATAAAAGCTTAATGATAAACAAAAATCCAAAACCTAGATGAGATCTGAGATTTATACGGGCTAATGACAGAATAATTGCGAAATAGATATTCGGCATATAATTGCGGAAAGAATGAAATTGTAATTAAATTATTATTTTCCTCTTCACAGATATCGAGATCGGGTGCTCGTCGCGTGGTCTTACAGCAGGCGACGCCGGCAATGGCCGGACGGTTTCGGTGTGAGGTATCGGCAGATGCACCGACTTTCCATACCGAAATACGATCAGCACCTTTAGAAGTCGTCGGTAAATATTTTTTTCAATCATTTGGGTTTTCCATCTCTCAATAGATATTGAACTTTATGAAAAAATAGGATGTTGTTTTTGCTAGTCGTGGAACGTTGTTAACGTTGTTGTTTTGTATGTGGTATGGTGTGCCTCGATGATTTGACAGCAGCTGAAAACATAATTGGTTATAGTTATAATGTTTTTTTAAACGTTGCCCCACACTAGTATTTCTCCTGTGTCGAGATCACACCCTGACCCGAAACAACAACTACGATTTAATTATCATGACTGAGACCTGGCTTCACAGCGGCATTTTTGATAGCGAATTGTGTGATCCTCGGTATGACGTATTACGTAGGGATCGTGACCTGGCCGCCACCGGCAAATCGTCTGGTGGAGGTGTAATGATACTCGCGCGACATGCTTTGGGTGCATGGTGCAGTGAGTGTGAGCCTAATACCATTGGTACGGAACTTCTGACTATAATAATACCCGCCCGAGCCCTGTCGACATCGGCCAATCTTTATGTAAGTGTTGTTTACGTACCTCCGGACGCTCATAGGATAGTGCCTGATATAGATTACATTTTGCAGAGAGTTACGAATTTACTATCCCACAAAACAAAAAAGAACAACTATTTACTAATTGGAGATTTTAATCTACCCTGTATTAAATGGAATCCGGGTGGGCCAACTTTTCTAAAACAGGGTGCCGTCGAGGTACAAAATGCAGCAATGCGGTTGGTGAATGACTTATGTTTTTTAGGAATAACCCAATATAATACACTTTTAAACAGCAAAGGTCATACATTAGATCTGGCGTTTTCTAACTTGCTATTAAACATAAACGAATGTGTCCATCCGGTAACGAAAGTTGACATCCATCATCCAGTGTTGGCTATAGAAATCCCTGACCTTGAAATCTCCCCCTTTCGTGAGTTGTCCGCGCCGAGACGTAATTACCGTAAGACTGATTATAACGCATTAAATAATTACTTTGCTAAAATTGACTGGAAATCAACGTTGGATAAAAAATCAACAGACATCGCGGTACATGCTTTTTATGACACGATTCAAGCAGGAATTGATGAACACGTACCTCTTAGCCGACCTGTGGGCTCTCGCAGATATCCCATCTGGTACAGTAATGCCCTTATAAAAATAATTAAACAAAAAAGTAGGGCACACTCTCGTTGGAAACGTTTCGGTAACCTGCTCGATCGCGATGAGTTTGCAATGTTGCGGGATAGACAGCGATATGTTCAGGGGCTTTGTTTTAGTAAATACCTACATGAGACCGAAAATAGTTTAAAAGAGAATCCTAAAAAGTTCTGGAGTTACATAAAAAATTTGCGTGGAGGATCAAGTTATCCCGGAAAGCTGTCTCGTGACAATCTAAACTACACAGATGGAAAAGACATTTGCGAAGCATTCGGCGACTTCTTTCATGATGTTTTTGGAGAACCCTCAGACTATAACCTTGCTGGTTTGGGGGTCACAGAGGCTGAAGATGTTTGTGTTGATATCATAAGTGACATACAATTTACTGCATCAACTGTGGAGAGGTCGCTGAGTTCTTTACGCACAGATAAGGGTCCAGGTAATGACGGTATACCACCATTGTTTTGGAAGGGATGCGCAGGGTCTCTAGCACGTCCGATTAGTTTTATCTTTAATATTTCTCTAAGAGAAGGTGCGTTCCCAAATGAATGGAAGAAAGCACTTATAATTCCTATACATAAGAAGGGTTCGCGAGTAAAAATAGAAAATTACAGAGGTATTTCTATACTTAATACTTTGGGTAAAGTATTTGAAAAGCTTGTGTACAATGCTATATATCCTTGCATTCTTAGAGGTATTTCCTATAGGCAGCACGGTTTCTTAAAAAAGCGTTCGAGTATATCCAATCTAGCTTACTTCTCTAACTTTGTCCTTGGCAATACTGATAAGGGAGGGCAGGTTGATGTGATCTACACAGATTTTGAAAAAGCTTTCGATCGTGTGGATCACAGCATCCTGCTCAGCAAATTGTACAGACTTGGTATTCGCGGCGATCTTCTTCGTTGGGTAAAATCATATTTATTTAAAAGGTCACAGGCTGTAATATTGGGTGGTTACCGTTCTAACTTCATAGAAATACCTAGCGGTGTTCCACAAGGATCCCATCTAGGACCTCTCTTCTATAATGCTTATTTATTTGATATTACTGACTCTTTTAAACACTCCGAACACTTAATGTACGCTGACGACAAAAAAATATTTTATAAAATAACTTCATTTGATGACTGTACAGCTCTCCAACAAGACCTTGGCAGGTTACACGATTACTACACAAGAAACAAAATTTCAGTGAACGTCACGAAATGTCAATGCATCAGTTATACACGTAAGAGGAACCCTATAACGTACTCGTACCAATTTAATGGAATGACTATCAAAAAAGTTGAGGTAGTTCGAGACTTAGGAGTTATGTTCGATAGCGGGTTGTCATTTTCAAATCACATAGATCTTATTACTGCCAAAGCTTACAAAAATTTAGGATTCGTTCTAAGATCCTGCAGGGCATTTAGAAACATTGAAGCGCTTAAATCTGTATATTTTGCTTATGTTCGCAGCGTTCTTGAATACGCATGCCCAATATGGTCCCCTCAATATAATGTATATAAAAATCAAATAGAACGGGTTCAAAAAAAATTCATTAATCACCTTAACTACCGCCTTCGTAAACCTCCAATGTCCTATGAAAATGGCTGTCGGACGTATGGATTGTTAACACTCGATGAGCGACGCGAAGTGTTGGACATGTGTCTACTTTACGACATACTGAATGGTAGGCTGGATTGTCCGGATTTGTTATCACAGATCAAATTTAATGCTCCTCTACGACGCACTCGCCATACGCCAATGTTGCATGTACCAAGGCATGCCACTAATTATGCTAGTAATTGTGTACTTACTCGCATTGCGCGAACCTACAACAGAAACTTCTCTCAGGTTGATATGTTTAACTGCACAAAACCTAGTTTTAAAGCCCGAGTTAAAAGGCTTATAATTGATATAGACAAGCAGCCGGTAACTTTGTTCCATTCACCATAAAGTATCAACTATGTTAATTCATATTTTAATTAATTTCTTTTTATAACAAGTAGTATATTTAACTTTCAATTCTATGTATAGTAAGACTTTATTTTTTAATATTGTTTAAAGTCCGTTCGCATGGTAAACACAAATTAAGTTAAGCAGGGAAACCTATTATTAGCCTTACTAAACTGTAATATCTTTATTTGTATTATACCACATGTATCGCTGTTGGTTTTCTAAATAAATAAAAAAAAAAAAAAAAACAATTTGTGGATCACACAAACTGTTGTTCCGTGTGGGAATCGAACCCGCTACACGTTGCACGACAGCCAGTTGCCCAGCCACCGCGCCAATCGTGCAGTCAAATCAAATAATGTTACATTATTTTATCCAAATAGTAACCATGTGAACCGAATCGATTATAAATTCATTGATTTGACAAAGTTTTAAGAAACACAGTCCCTTCGGCTTTCATTTATTAAAACTATTTATAGTACCTATTTATACCAAAACCTCAATAACAGGAAACTTTTAGAAAAAATCAAAGTACACAGAATTATTTCTTGTAATCGTTATCATTATTACTTATATACAAATCTCGGAATAGGTAATTAAGGAAAAAACTCATCTTGTCTAAATCCAGTACGAGAATTCTAATCTCGAGGTAAACAGAAAGATATGTGTATAAATTAATATTAAAGCATGTACATAGAAATAAAGGTAAACAAATTATAATAATATTACTAAGTTTTCCTCTGATTTTAGCTACCAGGAATGAAAAAATCTGATAAGTAGGACCATGATCCTCATTTTTTTCTTTTCCTCATTATATTTTACAAATATGCTGTTACATACATCAAGACTCTATATAGACAGATAGATAGATAGATATATAGATATCTGTTCAGAAACCGACCCGTGGCGGCGCGACAACCAGTTTTCCAGCCACCGCGTAAACTATGCAGTCATTTCCTCTAAGGGTATCAAAAAAAAAAATATTAACGAACAAAGTTTCTTCTTTTGTAAAATTTCCCATGGTAACTTGTTTCTGCATTGATTCAGAAGTTTTAGCAGGCTCCTGCATAATCAGTGATTCAAAATAAAAATATAATTATTTTTAGGCTTATTATTACCTACATAGACCTCAGCTCAGAGTCAGGTCGAAGGCGAGAACGTCGTGGCATCTCTCTAGCCACTCCTTAAAGAAACCCCTCTTGAAAAGTCCCCCTCTTGAAAAGTCTCTTTGAAAAGTCTTACTGTTACTATGACAGCAAGCCCAGCTCTTGGTTGATACAGTTTTTTTTGTGAGGGGAAAATCATCAAATGACTTCTCCCGCCCAGGGCCGGGCGAGTGGGAGTGTCAGACTCTTACTGACTAAAAACCCCCTGTTTCTTCTCCTGCTCTAGGCCGAGGTCGCGGTGCCTCAACCGCAACCCCTGTTGGTTGATACAGTTGCTATTTCCACTCTGCCATAAGATAGGGATGGAGATCATACCGCTGGATGACACCCCTTGCAGTTAGTTAATCGAAAAACCTGCTTATCCTTAGCCTGACCTGTGAATCGAATGTGAATATCAAATTTTAATAGTCTTCTTCTGACCACTTGATTACAAAAATAGTCTAGAAAGAATCAATAGTAAATTATTAAATAAATGATTAACATAAATCAATCATTACACAATAGGTATATTGGTAAGCATCGTTGATAGTTGAATTGTGTATAATTCCATAAGTACCTCTTATGACGCAATTACAATCTTAGCGTTGAGCCAGATTTTTAATTAATTCTATAATACCGTAATCTTATCTAGAATAGCCAATATGTGCGTAGTGATTTATTGTTACTGTTGGTCGACAAATGGTCGATTTCCGCCGCATTATTTTTTAATTGATTACCTTTTTAAAAAGAAGAATATTTGTAGGCCAGTACAGTACAG